TTTCCCTTCCCTGATTTTTTTTTTTTTTTTTTTTTTTGCCACATATTTTTGCTGCTGGCAGAGAACGGTACGTAAGGCAGTTATCGAATGAAAATCTCTAGGTGGTGTTATCACATCTTTCATGATGAGGGAGATGTCTAGGTGTTAGGGCAGTGTAAGCGTGGTGTTGGAGCCATGATAGTTTAGAAATTATGAGAGGCCAGGGTTTCTTAGTGATCTCTTTTATTGGCCCAACAATGTAGTTGGGCTAGAATTAAACAGGGAAGAATGTCTTGCATTCGAAAGCTAATCTGACCCCTAGCCCAACTACATCATTGGTCCAATAAAACATATTACCCCAGGAAATCCTTGCTGCAGTATTATGGCATGAATGGTTGGGAGCTTGCAGTGACTTCACCACAAATGTTGATAGACTGGTCTAATTGATGGGCAGTTTAATTCCTTAGCTTCTACAAGGGTAAATTCTCTGTAATTCCCTGTGTCTTTCCTGGGAGGAAGCTGAGAGGTTCTGACAGCCATTCTTTCTACATGGGGGTGGAACCAAATAATTTGTATTATTGAATGCAGAATGTGTTTGGATTTGTTCAAGGCAGAAACAACCCCAAGAAACCTTTCCTCTGCAAAGGCTCTACTTTCTTTTTTGAAGAAGAGTGGTTGACAGACAGCTGAAAAAACAGCTACATGTCACTATTCAGGAGCAGGGAAGCTGAAAATTAATTTTGGGGTGAATCTTTGTTTGAAATCTGTGTGTGTGTGTATGTATGTATATATGTGTGTGTGTATATATGTGTGTGTGTGTGTGTATGTATGTATATATTAAAAAAAGTAGAAAGTCTTTATTTTCCTGGACATTTAATTTCCTGCCAAAAGGGCACATGTTGTTCTCTTCTCTTCCCAGCAACGTATTTTAATTAAAAAGTCATTTCTTGTGTTTCAGGATGACTCGCTTGTAGTTTGGAAGGAGGTGGATCTGACCCGGCTGTCAGAAAAGGAACGTCGTGATGCTTTGAATGAAATTGTTATCCTTGCTCTGTTGCATCATGACAACATCATTGCCTACTACAATCACTTCATGGATAACACCACGCTGCTGATCGAGCTGGAGTATTGTAATGGTGAGGTTCTCATTCCCACTTACAAATGGGAGGCTGCCATGCACTTCTGTTGCCCTCCTCAAGAAGCTGCTGGAGGTCAGGTGTATTTCTTGTATATCTTCTAGAGTAGCGTTTCCCAACCGGTGTGCTGCGGCACATGTACTGTCAAGCATGTCCAGATGTGCTGCAGCCTTTTGGGCTGGAGCCATGACCCCCACCTGCTGCTGCTGCGGACACAGACAGATGGGGAGTGTGGCTCCAGCCAGGCAGGGGGCATGGCTCTAGCCCAAAATGTGTCCGGCTGGCTGTGTGCCACCCTCTGCCCCACCCTGCTCCGCGTGCTTTTTTTAGTGTGCCACAGTGCTTTTTTATTAAGATAAGTGTGCTGTGAGGTGAAAAAGTTTGGGAAACGCTGTTCTAGAGGGAAGAGGGATAGAGCCAAACCCTGCAGCGCAGCTAGCAAAGAGGAGGTTGAAAGCTCTTTCATGTTGGCCTGTTTGGGAGATGCCAAAGAGAGAAGTGCCCAGTGCAGGGTGTTCCAGATGCTGTCCAGTTTCTGGAACATCATGAGCAGATGAAACAATAATATAAGCAGGGTATTTCTAATACACAGCTCTTTCACACTTTTGCATATACATACAAACTAGGATGCAGCAGGGAAAGACGGGTTGTTCAGGTTGTGGCTTTATTTTAGGATTGTAGTCAGAAAAAAAATCATGTCTTTTTCAAGACTCCTTTCATTTGATAGTTAGAACCACAGCATGAAAATCCACTTGTCCAGGCCAAGTAGGAACTTCTACTGGTCAGTGCCATCAGCTTCTGTAGTCTCTGCCATTTTGGAGAGAAATGCTTCTAGCCATTATGGTTGTAACGAGAATCTTCCAAACTTGAATCGGGTATAGTTCTGTGCAGTGATAGTCTCCCAAGTCTGCAGAGAGACTGATCCCAGTTGGGGACAGGGAAGTGGGAAAATGCCGCTGTTATGTGTGGCCCAGCTGCAGCTAATGGGAGGAGGAAGGTATGTATGCAGAGCTACTATCTCCATGTCTCAGAGCAAGGAGCACTACAGCCTGTGTGTGTGTGTGTGTGTGTTTATATAGAGAGAGTGCGACCAGTCCAGCAAAGAGCTTCAGTCCTGTTGCACCAGTAGATCATTATAGTAAACACTGATTAATGTGCCACTCCAAAGGGATGCAAATAATGGCAAATTATCCAGCAGTGACCAATAACCAGGAATTGATAATTGATGGGGAGGGAAGCTGGCAGAGAGCGGAACAGCAGCAAATTAAACCACAGCAGTGAATTAACCTGTGGGCAAATTAATCAGAATTTACTGCATTCTCTGGTAGAATTCCCTCATACTGCCATTGTGGAGAGGGTGAGGACTCCATCTGAGGTGTTACTGGCAGAGGGAGGCACCTGCACAAGAATCTTTGGTAGAGGGCAGGCAAGGATGGCTAGGCCTTTCCAGCCCCTTGGGTCTGCTGCACTTTGTTTTGAGGTAGGCTGGAGTCCAGCATAAGAGAAGGAAAGCATTAGAGTCTCGATTTGGGGCCAGTATAAATTGATTGGAGGGGATGGAGAAGGACTGTATCTGTCAGTTCAGTTGCTTACGCTCATTCACACACTCCCAATGATTGTTTTATTTGGGGACTCTCCAACTTTATTTGAATTATCTGGCATAAGAAGAGAAAAGTATTTCAACTACAATAGCCTGGGATCTTCTGGCCCAGCAGGTTAGCGTACACAGTGGGGTTGAGGAGAGACCATGGTCGTGGGCTGAGAATGTGGCTTAGGATATAGATGTGTTTTGCTACTTGTATTATTTCAGTCACATTTCACTCTAAGAGATATTAGATTAAATTTTCAGACAAGATTGTGTTAGAAATGATAAATAATTTGTGGAAATAAAACATGGACAAAAAAGCATGTGAAGGACACCTGTTTTCTTTATAACACCTTTTAAATGATTATTTTCCCCATTTTATGGATGGCAAAGCTGCAGTATAAAGACATTGTATGGCTGCATATCAATAGCAGAAAAGCCAGATTCTTCCTGGAAGAGTGCCAGTTAATAATAATATGTGGAAAATACTTTGACACATACTTTATAGGCAGAAATAATCACTGAAGAAAGAGCAGGGAAGAGAGAGTTTGGTCTGATAGTGGTGAACAAGCCAGCCATAAACTTGATGTGATGCAAAAAAAGCTAGCATGCTTTTTGGCCTGCATGTGCACAGAGGCATCATATAAATAAGGAAGTGATTTGTTTCCTTATGAATGTTTGTTGAGATTTGCACTGGAGATGATTATGGGTAAGGACTGGAAGGCTTATTTTCGGGAAAGAAGAGCTAGAGATTAATAGCTTGTCTTGACTTACTCAGGAGTAGGAAAAATTGTTTAAAATAATGTAAAAATGTGAACATGGCTGGGATAGAAACTGTCCAGAGCATTGCAGGGTATAACTGGGGAAAAATGGGACTCTTAATACCAGGACGTCTTCTCAAGGGAAGTGAAGAACCTCTCTGGACATATCCATATAGGTTTTCATAGATTGATAGATCGTTAGGGGCTGGAAGGGACCTTGTAGATCATTGGGTCCATCCCCCCTGCTCTAGCAGGAAGGCAACTTGGATTGGATGACCCCAGTGAGGGTCTTCTCTTGAAAACCTCCAAAGTAGGTGATTGCACCTCTGGAGGGAGTTTATTCCATAGTCTGGACACCCTGACTGTGAAGGAGTTGTTCGTGGTATTAAGACTGAAGCAGCCTTCCAGGAGTTTGTACCTATTGGTTCTGGTCTTCCCCAGGGGTGCCCTAGTGAACAGTTGTTCACCGAGCTCCTGATGCACTCCTCTGATGTATCAGTAAACCGCTATCAAGACAAACTGAATCTGTAGGAAATATCCTGCTCTCTACCTCTGGGGATGGAAAGGCAGCCTACTGGGTCCCTTCCATTCTGTTGACCCTAATAACCTTGGGACATGAGGACATGGTTGTGGAGGACTGAGATGGTAGAAGGATGAGATTAGAGATTTGCCACTTGCTGGGAAGGTGCTGGTCTGTTTGGGAGACTGCTCTTGCTCACTGGGTGCTGCAGGCTACTTTGTTCATGATTTCTTGTAGCTCTTCTTGTGCTTCAGCTTTCTTCACTGGGATTGCTAAGCAGCATGCAGAGGCTGATGGTGACTCTTGATGTAGAAAGCTGTTCTAGTTGGATTGCCAGTGTCACGTCAGTTTGTCCTTCATCAGGACACTTGATGATCATAGAGGTAGAAGGCTGGATGCAAGTGGGACAAGCTTGATTTGGGAGGATGGGGCTGCAATTACTGCTGCTCTCTGAAGTGGCTGTAATTTTTGTTTTGAGGTTCTTGTGCAGGGGAATCTTGTCTGTTTTCTTGTGCAAGGTAGAAATGTCTGCCTGTTCCAGAAAATGCTGGGGGGTAAAGGGTTAAGGAAGTGCTGTCATTTCATTCAGAGCCACCTCTTAGAACAGATTGAAGCTGGTGCTCAAAAAAAACAATCCCTATCTGGCTTTTGACATGTCCAGTCTATTTTTAGAGGGAAGAAGGGTGTATTTTGGAGGAGAACTTTGTTTTGCAAGCTCCTGCAGAGTCTGAGTGAAGGGCACAGAGGGAAAGCAGTTTCCTTTATAGAGGCTTCAGGCATCCAGCAGGTTTCCCAACTACACTAGCAGAGTAATTACCCCTGTTAACCAGGTTGTGCTTTTCTCTTTCACTTTTAATTACAGGAGGGAACCTCTATGATAAGATCCTGAGGCAGAAAGACCAGCTGTTTGAAGAAGAGGTAATTTAGACTGTTTGAGGAGAGTGGTGGGGTGGGGCTTAGTGCTGTCAAACATGCCCCATTATCTTAAGTATTGATACCTTAACTAATTTCCATAGCATTGGTATTCCTCTACCGTAGTCAAGAGTCTCTGTGGGTATTCTTTGTGCTGTAGTCCTGCCTCTTAGATGTCTAAAGCAGCTATGTAGCATCAGGAAGACTTTCTTTCAGGCTGTGGATATCTCTAAATAATGAACTAGGGAGGAATAATGAAAGGAGAGGCTTTGAGAACCTCACTTAAATCACCCCTTCTGCTTTCTATTCTGGTTATTGCTCTTCTTATCTCTTGGCCTTTTACAGGGTCTTCTCCAAGTATGACTCATTTTTTGTTGGCATTAGGAGCTTGTCTTGCCATAGTCCAGGAAAATGCCTATTCTTTGTTACTTTATTTCACTTCCCGTTAATTATCCACACTCATTCCATCCACCTCCCACGGTATTCTAAGATCCTCACACTTACCTATTCACATACAGAACCTAAGGCCTTTATGGATCATGGAAAGGCTAACATGGTCCAAGTTAAAGATTCATAAGACACCCCCATCCTGGATTTCCCCATTAGCTGCCAAGTTACTGTGGTACCGATCAATGTCTTGACATTTATTTGATCAAATGATTTTGTGTAGGTTCCCTATTGTAACAGATCCCCACCCTCTCTTAGGGGCTGATAAAGATGTCTCTCTCAAAGAACGTCCGGCCAGTGGTTTCCCTGCTGTCTTCAGGTCCTCGTGCTTTAGCTTTCAAGGACAGTGGTGTTTGTTTTGCGGTCTCGCATACAATTTTTGTTCCTCCCTCTGCAGATGGTGCTGTGGTACCTGTTTCAGATTGCATCAGCAGTGAGCTGCATCCATAGAGCTGGAATCCTTCATAGGTAGGTATTGCATGTAAAGAGTCTAGTGTGAGCCTGTGGAACTTGTGTCAGAGGACAGAATCCCCTTGAGAACTCTGTGTTCTTACTTTTGGAGCAGCCTTCCCCTAGCTGAGGTGAGGCATGGGAAGAAGAGAAATTGGCATGTGCCTGTTTGTCCCTTTGGGAAATTTCCTTGTGTTGAGCCTAGCTGGATCTCCCAGGATTAAAGACCCCCCCTTCACCCATAAATTTTCTTTAGGTTAAAAGCAGCAGCATCAACTCTATATAATGAAGTAGAAAGCAGTCTTTCTGGCTAGCTGTGCTGCATCTGCTCTCTGGGGAAGTCTGAAATCTGAATTAATTAGTAAAAAGTCCAAATAAGAAAGGAGTAAACTGGCCACTGCCTGTTTGAGCTGCAAAACAGATATTTCCTAAGTGAAGCAGGACTGAGACAGTTGCTGGTGAGGCAGAGCCTGTCTCCATCTGGAGAGTGATGCATGATCTTATGTGATGTTGTTAAATCTGTGATGTTATTTCTGTGAGCTAATACAAGCATAGTCTGATTGGTGCATCACGGTGGCATCCACACTTGTCACATGGCCAGAATGTATGACACAATTATCCTGGGTTTGGTTCAGCTCTGTTTCTTGGCCCATTATTTAAGTGCATCACTGGCCTCTTGATACTGACAGTCATCACATTCTGTCTGAAGAAAGGAGGAACTAGGAGTTTTTTTGCCCATTTTTGAGGAGTGAGTCAAGTTGCTGCCTATTCTGTATGTCAGGAGTGGCCAAGGCATGGGCAAAATGACAAGGCTCTCGAGTTTTGTAATGCATCTCCTATTTAAGGTAGTGGTATGGGCTGCAAAAATTACTATTCCCAGCATGAAGTGTGATGTGGATGTTCAGCAAAGTTGGTGTGTTGCATTTTGCCTTTGCATCACCCAGTTATTTGTATCTGGGAGGTTTGCAACCCATTTAATTCATAGCTGTTTGCTGCAACTTTTACTTGAGGGTGCCTCTCCTCCACTCACCTGTAGCTCATCCACAGTCTTGCACAGCTGATTGAAGGAGCAGTGCCCTTTGAAATTAAAAGCCTCTGAAAATAGCTGGAGCCCCTCAGGAGTTCTGCGTAGCTGTTTGCTGTGACTGTATACCATGTTACTTCACAAATCCTCATCAGAGCCGAATTGGGGACCTATCCTTGTGAAGTATTTTGGTCCTACCATATCACATTTGTTCCATTTTATACATATTGGATACAACCACCTGAGTAACCTTCATTAGGAGAATCATTTGGGAGTTTTTTGCCAGCTGTCCATTTTGGGTTTTGGGGTTTTCTTTGTTTGTTTTTTACTAATGGCAGATGTGATGCTCTCTGCTGCTTGGTAGTGATAGCCCTACTCCATGGACTCAGAGTGCCTCTCTGCTGTCCAACATGACAATGAGGGTCACAGTTTTGAGTAGGGGTGCACTGATAGAGATTTTTGGGGCTGGTGCTGATAGCCGAATTTTAAGGAGGCACGTTGGCCAGTACTGATCCAATTTTTGAGACTCAGCTCTTCAGCTTGAAGAGCTG